CTTTATTTAACTAAGTTTGTATAAAAAGGGTTATTATAATAGTAAGGAATGTATGGATGACAATAACCCCTGGGAATGAGGTGATCACTACCATACTATTTCTAATTTGTTGTGTAGTTAATTGTGTACATGATTGTAAGATGTTATTTGAAAAAAAAGTCCCGCTGGGTTTCTTGCTGGTTCTTCCCAGGACAGAGGTTTTTCTCCGAACCAGTGGTAATAAAACAAAAGAGTAACTTTCAATAAGTATCATTTATAATCTATATTGAATAAAAAAGTTTGTTTCTGTTTCTACCGAATGTCTACACGATACTTTTCTACTTGGATACTCTGGTGCAGTTTATTCAGAGTTACATTGAAATTCAAAGTTTTATACCTAAGTTGACTGTATAATGAATGGAGACTTTATAGCACGAATGGGTCGGCTCGACCGGAGAAGGACCACGCTCTCACAGAAAACCAGCGTAAAATAGCAGCTTAACGCTGCTGTGTTTCGTATGGTGAGTGTAGAGAACCGGAGACCCTTTTTACTGGCAAAGAGGCATTCCATCTTAGTCCTCACGGGTGACAACGCATCTGCATCTTGAGTCTTTATTGAGGATAGATATAGATGTCTATGGGTCACAGTAACCACTTACCATCAGGTGGACTGTGTGCTCGTTTATCACCCGATCCTATAAAAAAAATCTTACTTGTAGAAATAACCTCCTCCTCTGACTCCTCGAAACCATTTTCTTGCATAACCTCCGTATGCTGTTGTGACTGTAACTCTTGTATCTCCTCAGTAGTCAGTTCCTGGGTGCTCCTGGACGAGCTCGTTCACGTCTCTCTCTTCTACCTCTAGACCCATGGATTTCCTCAGAGACACAAACTCCTCCTCTACTGAAATCCGCGTGGCGCGCAGTCGCGTGCTACCGACCTGCTAAACCGAAACTCGTATCTCGAATTTCACTCGTAACTCAAAGCAAAAAATCACTTGCTCGCCAGCACGTATTTCGAAAAACTCGTATGTTGGGGCACTCGTATGTCGATCATGTCGTATCACTGTATATGATGTAGGTGGCTAAGGACCGTGCTTTGTGATTTTTATTGAAGAGGCAGGAGGCCTATGTTTAGTCTGTAACGATGATGATTAATTGTTTGTTTTATTTAATGTTATAGGCTGTGCTGAAAAAAATCGTCACCATAATAATAGTGTACTGTAATATATCAGTTTATTAATAAATCATTTGTATTTGACACAATTGATTGTACTTGTATTAGAATAATAACAATAAAAATATTTCTTTTCTTTTAATCAGTCCAGCTTAAGTATTTTATGTATTCATGACTAAATTATGTATTTAGTCTTAAAAATTGTAAGTTAATAAAAACAGAGAACCCATCACCTCATTTCGTCCCATGGGTGCTACGTTATAAGAGATATGTCAAAAAATTTCATGAGTTCTGTTTAGTCGGCGGTATAACTATCTCGTTTACGCCAGACGTAAAATCCAAATCGACGATGGACAAGCTACGTCAAAGGTGTTCACGTCTAGAACTATGATTGTCAAGACGCCTGCCAAGCATGACAGGCTCAAGTCCAGCAGTAAACTTTAATAGGACAATAAAGAAGAAAAAAGTCAGAAAAAGTTTGCTGTGCTCTGATAATACAAGTGTTTATTAATGGATTAATTAGCTTTTTGTTTTTCAGAAATGGGCATTCTTCCAAGATAATATGCAGAAACTGCCGAAATTCTCCTCTTTTTTGACAAGGTATTCGATTCTGTTAATGGCAGCTACAATAAAGAAAAAACTATATGTAAAGCCTCTTCTTGGACCAGCAAGGCCAAACTCAGAACACCATAAGTTGTGGAATGAAGCAAAAGCTATATTAAATAACATGAAATTTATAAATAAAATGTCAATTAATCATGAGAGTGTATCAACAATAAAAAAATGGGTATGGATACTAATTGGTGTACAAATTCTTTTAAAAAATTATTGGAAACTAAGTATGGTATTACTTCTGTTTGGATGCGGCACCTCAACCAAGACCCTATTGAAAACTTTTTTGGAACCATTAGAAGCCATGGGTGCCGCAATGTTAATCCAACACCAGAACATTTTCAGGGTGCCTACACTACACATTTAATTAATAATATGTCCAGTGTCCATGCCTCGGGAGCTAATTGTGAAAAAGATAATTGTAAGGCTTTAAAATCCGTTATCATCACAGATAACTGCAAAGCTGCTGCAACCTGTGACCTTGAAAAAATCCCGGATGTAGATATAATTGATAATAAAGAGAACACTGCTCCATATATAAAGGTGCCATTAGATTATGTTAGTGGATACTTTGCTAGATGTGCTAAAAATGTTTTTAAAAATTGTAGTGAATATACTGCTAAAATAATCGCCTTAAGAAATTGAAATCATTAACTTTTGGTGCCATGGATATGAAACGATTCGAGTAGTTTTACTATTTATCGGTAGATGTAGAATAGTGTAAAGTGGGCGGGGTTTTGCATCCCCTCACCCCGCAAATTGTCACGCGTTGTTACATAGTGAAATTTAATTAGAACGTTTCCTCTATGTATTTGCTTCATGTTGGAATAGCTTCAAGCACTGAAATGAAACTTCACAAACAGATATAGAGCGATGCCAGGAGTGACGTAGGCTACAGTTTATCCGCAAAGCTTGGTCATTTTATTGTGAAATCTTAAATCTCGATGATAAAATAAATGGCAACACCGAAGCGAAGCGTGGGCGTGCCACTAGTATTCAATAAAACATGTTCGTTTGTTCGCTATTTTTATTTATTTATTATTTATTGAATCCCTAAAACAAAAGAATACAAAGTGCGGACTTAATGCTTAACTCTCCGTAACTCCTTTAGTCGACTGCGAGCGGGAGAGAAGACCGACAATCTAACACTGATTTTGTTTAATGTGACTAAGAATACGCTGTCATTATTTATGTGCGCAGTTTGTCAACGTGATTTGAAGTTTATTTCATATAAGTGTGTAACGTATTTGCCTAAAAGCAGTAACTGTCGTAAATGAAAATATAACCGCGTGCCATATTTACCGTGCCGGCTACCCGCGATCCACAGCTGTCACACGGTTTTTATTCTGAATTGCCGCTCGAGTAGTATACAAGTCTTTGACTTACTAAACAAAGCCTCTGCAAGAAAACTGCCTTACAATACTTAAACTGTAATTTTTTTTAGTACAAGTCAAGGTAAATGATTTCTCACATTTACGCGAACACTACACATTTAAATAAAACTAATTTTACGGATTTTATCGCGTATATTAACTTATTTTACATTCCCGACGTTTCAAGCACTTTACAGCACCCATGGTCACGGGGGAGACTAAGGTGTATGACGTGTCAATGTCATAGTTAACCACGGCTACCTCCAGATTAAAAATTATTAATTTTTGTTCCGATCTACGCAGTATGAACTTACAGTATCATGAAGTCTTGCAGTTGTATGCTTGGGTTGGGATTTAATTTTATTAATTATGGGATCTCAAGCAGATGGTAGCACCCAGCCATCTTCTCTATTGAAATTAGGATGTTTTTTGATTTCAATAGCCTCGCGAATCATCCTTGGAAGGAATCGGTGTTCTTTAGCGAGGATTTGTGGTCTATCAAATCTAATGTAGTGACGGGGGCGATCCTGTACATGTTCACAGACTGCAGACTTCCCGGAGCGTCTATTATTCACATCAGCTATGTGTTCTTTAATGCGGGTTTTTATGGATCTAAACAATGTAAAATAAGTTAATATACGCGGTAAAATCCGTAAAATTAGTTTTATTTAAAAGTCAAGGTAAAACTAATAAAAACAATGTCCGCGCGTTAACAAATAACAAAATCATTTCCTTCATTAGCCTAAGATAATCTATAAGATCAAAGTAAGATAAAACAAAACTAAGATTAAAAAAAAAAACAAAAGTAGTGATGTAAATGTCTTTCACTTCAATTTATAGTTAGCTGCCACGGCAGGAGTTTAATGTTTCAGTTTCACTCCGAATTCAGTCTGGACATTTTACAGTGTAAGTATGAAATGAATAACTCGACTACAAAAGCCAACTGGTACGTAATAATAGACTAAGTAAAAAAACCTTTCCGTGCCTTATGTGCTAATTGAAACTGCATTTATTCTGAAGAAGCTGATTCAAAAACCAAAAAAAATAAACTTTCAAATATGAAACAAATGGGAGGTTAGTCGAAACAGACCAGACAATGTTTTTTTTTTATTTAATTGATTGCTAATGTTTTTCCTTTTTTCGTTTCGATGTTTATTGTGTTCTTGTTAGAGAGCCTATTAAAGTCAACTGCTGATGCTGAACATAGGCCTCATCCATAGATTGCCTCAAAAGGGGGGATTATTTGCCATAGTTGCCACGCGGGTTGACAACACAGTTTTTTTTTATTTTCTTAGGAATACGGTGCTGCACGTCTTCTGATTTATTTCTTTCTGTCGCCTCTAAGACACACACGGGATGATAAGGGGTAGTGGATATTCTTATATCTATATCTATATATTATATCTAGGCGACGGAGGAAATAAACCATGAGATGGGCAGCAGCGTCTTCCTAATAACAAATAAAAATAAAAAACCGCGGTTGCCTACCCACCTGCATGCCAACTATGGCAAATATCCCCACTATGAGTCAATCCGTGGGGCCTATGTTTAGCAGTGGACTTTTATAGGCTGTTACGGTAACGATAAATGTCGAAACGAATAAATAAAAACAAACTAGTATGATTTAAATAAAATTAAAAAAAAAACATGAAGTCTAGTCTGTTTCCACTAACCACTCGGTACATATTTCAAGGTACGATTTCACTTGGTTGCTTCTTTGGTTTTTGAATAAGCTTCTTCAGAATAAATGCAGTTTCAATTAGCACATATGGCACGGAAAGGTTTTTCTACTCGTTCTACAGTGTCGTGAAGCGACAATAAAAAAAAAACCTAACCTAACAGCAACAAAACAACAAAAATAGAACAAAAACAAATAATTTATTTAAAATTTAAAAGATATTTACAATTTTATATAACAAAATGGAGTATGAAGATGAAGATGGGTGACGTGATTTACAATTATTTCTAAAAAAAAAAAAAATGATGACTATTGAAGTTGAGCTGGTACACCGCTTTTGGTGGTGGTATTCGCTGCTCACAGATTATACACAGGCTGTGCCTGTGCTAGGCCCACAGCGCCTGGAATAAGCGCTCGCAGCGCCTGGAGCGAGCACGCACAGCGTAGGTGAAGGCGTGGGCGTGTCTAGGCGACGACTTCAGGTGAATGCAGAGGTTTGCAAGATCCGGCGACTTCAGGCAGGACAGAGGCTTGCAGGATCCTAGCGACGTCAGGCAGGACAGAGGCCTGCAGGATCCGGCGACTTCAGGCAGGACAGAGGCTTGTAGGATCCGGCGCCTTGAGGCAGGACAGAGGCTTGCAGGATCCCGGCGACTTCAGGCAGGACAGAGGCTTGCAGGATCCCGGCGACTTCAGGCAGGGCAGAGGCTAGTAGGATCCCGGCGGCTTCAGGCAGGACAGAGGCTTGCAGGATCCCGGCGACTTCAGGCAGGACAGAGGTTTGCAGGATCCCGGGGCAGTGCGGCCCTGGGATAAGGCCTTTAGGAGATGCTTCGAGTTTGAGAACCGAAGCGAGACTAAATTTATTGGCCGATTGTTCGGCTTTTATACCTTTTTTAGAGAGAACGGAAAATTATTTAAATTAAAAGCAAATTTTTTGTAAATGACCAAGAGGAAAGAGTATTTATGTGGAATTATCGAAGTAGAAACAACAGACCGGTAGCGAATTTGAATAAAAATTGCCATGACAACCAGATAAACAACGATGTCAAAACATGTCAAATTTTGGTTTTAGGCTCGTAATAGAAAAACGGCAAGATTTAAGTGAAAAATGAGATATTATTGATATAGGAAAAAAGGTAGCGCACCAGGCGCACAAAGCCCGAAATTGCAGAGTTACGGAAAACTAAATAAAAGATCGAAAAAGGTAGACTCCATTGACACCAATTTAAAAGTGCTGATAGTGTGAAAATACGAAGTAAAAATGATTTGTTATTGTGTTCTTATGATTTAAAATCGTTACAGGATCCTATGGAAATAAAGGTGATACAAAATATCCAGTTTTGAGGTGAATGCAGAAAATCAAAACAGAATGGAAAAATGAATATAAAATGATATGTAAGTAGCATAACACTACAACAGTTACATAAGAAATTCATGACAAATGGATTTTTATCTAGTATACTTTTATATTTATATAAAACACGTTTACATAATATTGCACATATTTTACCAAATTTCTCACAAAAAAGGTTCTGATCAGGTGTGTGTTTTCATATGTGTTTGCAAACTACTTTTTGTAATACATTTATATTCGCAGATATTACACGAAAAGGGCTTTTCTCCGGTGTGTATTCTCATATGTGTTTGCAACACATCTTTTCTAATACATTTATATTCACAGATATTACATGAAAAAGGTTTTTCTCCAGTATGTATTTTCATATGTGTTTGCAAATTACTTTTTTGAATACATTGATATTTACAGATATGACACGAAAAAGGTTTTTCTCCAGTATGTATTTTCATATGTGTTTGCAAATTACTTTTTTGAATACATTGATATTTACAGATATGACACGAAAAAGGTTTTTCTCCAGTATGTATTTTCATATGTCTCTGCAAACGATCTTTTTTAATACATTTATATTCACAGATATTACATGAAAAAGGATTTTCTCCAGTATGTATTTTCATATGTCTTTGCAAATCCCTTTTTTTAATACATTTATATTCACAGATATTACATGAAAAACGTTTTTCTCCAGTATGTATTTTCATATGCCTTTGCAAATTACTTTTTTGAATACATTTATATTCACAGACATTACATGAAAAAGGTTTTTCTTCAGTATGTATTTTCATATGATACCACAAATTACTTTTGTGAATACATTGATATTTACAGATACGACACGAAAAAGGTTTTTCTCCAGTATGTATTTTCATATGCCTTTGCAAATTACTTTTTTCTATACATTTATATTCACAGATATTACATGAAAAAGGTTTTTCGCCAGTATGTATTTTCATATGCTTTTGCAAATGACTTTTTTGAATACATTTATATTCACAGATATTACATGAAAAAGGTTTTTCTCCAGTATGTATTTTCATATGCTTTTGCAAACTACTTTTTTGAATACATTTATATTCACAGATATTACATGTAAAAGGTTTTTCTCCAGTGTGTATTTTCATATGTGTTTGCAAACTATCTTTTTTAACACTTTTATAATCACAATTATTACAACAGTACACTTGTTCAGCGACGTGCGCTTTAAGATGTGCCAAAATGCGACCTTTTTGAGATGTTTTAAATTCGCAAATATCACAATTAAATATTTCCGTTAGTTGTGGTATTGGAGTTTGTTCAACTTGTGTCCGAACTGCAGTGGTGTCTGAGTTCTTTTGTGTCTTATGACTGTATGAAATGTGTTTGGCGAGAATGTCTTTTGTTGATGCCCCAGACGTGTTTTTCGTAAGTATATTTACACTCTTTTGTGTCAATATTTTCTTTCTCATAATATTTGCAGGATGCTTTCCTTTTTTATTAATTGGTTGATTATCTTTTTTGACTTTAGGCTTTGATTTAATAGTAGGGCTTTCTAAATCGAGGTTTCCTTTACGAACATCGTTTATGTTACAATCAGTAGAATCTGATTTAATCTTCCTCTCAGACGCTTTTGAAAAATGATTTGTCGGTATGATGTTTGGTTCTGAAATACACACGAATTGTACATTTAATTTATTATAAGTAAAACTTTTTATTGCACGACGCCTTAAACGCATTCTCTATCAGTCAACCAGGGAGAAATAGATAAATTATAAAATTACATAATTATACAATGTTGCTAGATATAAAGTATTTTACTTTTAATAATGTCTCTCATATTCATTTTTGGAGGGAAAGAATGGTAGAGAAACTAAATTCGAATGATAATGATGACGTTCTTCTCACCATTTTACAATTACCTACATAAATCTAATAATAGATGCTTCGAATCGCACACAGGACAAGCATTATACAGAATGATTGGAAGATTGACTTGTTGATTGAAGAAAATCATTTAGGCCATAGTTATGTTAGACAAAGTCTGACTATACTTTTTGTTTTTGGTGATAAAACTAAAAATTTTACAGTTAATTGCTAATAATTGCCAATTTAATTAACGTCTGTTTTTTTTTTAAATTTAAGTAATGAATAAGAAATCTAAGAAAACATAGTCTCAGCATCTGTGTCATCAGACATATTTTTGTACAGACACTAAGTTCACAAAAATTTTCTACGATTTAAAGAAACATAATTAACATTTTAAATAATAAACATTATTGACACTACGTTAAAAAAACTGGTGGTACTTTTACTGTTCGAACCTTTTTAAAAACATGCTCTTTCATTTGAGGTATCACTTACACGCATTTGTTACAAATTTTTCAATTGTCCCCTAAAACCAGATTGAGGTAGAAAATTTAAATTTTTAGGCAGACTAATAAAAATTCTAATTATTTATTTGTTGATGCTCAAAATAATTGATGTGATTACTACGAGTAACACAAGCACAGGCCCGTCGTCTCACTTCTGTTGTAGTTACTTTCAACATCATGGTTTCAAATGCTGAATTAATTCTTTGAAATTTGAAATTCCGGCCATATAGCTCGAAGAAATGACAATGAATGAGGAAGTTTTACGAGTGGCAGCCTCGTACCAGTAGTCAAAGTGTAGGGCGGCTCTCCATTAGATGGAATGATGACCTGGTAAGAAATGCAGGAAGGCGATGGATTCCTGTGCTTTGTGGCATTCCGTGGGTGAGACCTATGTTGCACGCACTGCTATTTGACGGCAGAAATAGGTAAGAGGAGGAGGGAGGAGTCCATCTGGGCAGGCACAAATAGATCAACTCCTAGGCAAACATGGAGTCACACCACCTAGTACTGACACTAAGAAGATGGCAAAGATAATTGGTTGCTTACCAGTATGTATCTTAGTGACATACATACTAGCTGACAGGGTAAAAATATTTTTTTTAATGTATTAATAAGAGTGCTTTTGACATGCACTTTGAATTTAGACAAAGGCAAATCAGTAAATCAGTACATTACACATGAAGCCCTCTTTATTTTGTGTCTACGGGCTACAGTGTTACAGTGGTTACTTGTCATAAGGTAAATTGTACCTTATTTTAATAATATCAGGAAAAGGTGTATATCTTACCTGTTTCATGATTCTCATTTTCTTCAAATTTGGAATTCTCATATTCGAAAATCTCTTCCTCAACTTTAACGGCATCAACGCAAAAAATTTCGTCCTTGCAATCATTGTCTATATCACACTCTACAGGGCAGATATCTATATGATAAATTGGTGTGAATTTAATCTCACCTCTAAACTTATGCGGTTTTGGTATTGACTGAAAGGAAATAAGTTTTTTAAATAAGAGAAAAAGCCACTATAGTGGTGGAGTAGGAGAGCCCATACTACCCCCTGCCATCCCGCAGATGTCGTAAAAAGGGGCAGAGGGAAACTGAAACAGGAGATCGGGGGGCAGCATCTTCCTGACAACAACTTCAAATAATAATAAACACCAGACAAAAGTGAGGGTTCACCGTAAACTTAAATAAGAATGTACATAGTTCATCTATCCCGAGAATTGAGTCTCAACAACTTTTAGATTCAGATTCACGAAAGCTGTAAATTGACAAAGAAATTGACAATGAATTGATCTTTGTTTATTGAGATTAGTTTATATACCATAGGGTAATATATAACAGTATAAACAGTTTGATAATTGTTTTTGTAAAAATAAGTACTATTGCTCTAACAAAAGTAAGTTGGATTGAAGGACAAACTTAACTTTGCACTAGAAACATTCTCCCATATAGTAATGGCAAGCAGCATAGAAAAGTGGATTGTGCAGTGACAGTGTAAGAATATCTACTATCACAGGGTCGGAAACCTTTTATATATATGGTATTATTAGATAATCACTTATTATTTAAGTAAAAAATTAAAACAAACATTTATTTACATTGTAAGTCTTACAACACTAACTTATACTTCAAGTACAAACAATTGAGCAAACAAATTCAATGGGAGTTTTGGCTTTGCATGGTTTTAGAAAGTTTGGATAAATTTGGCTCATAACTTGTTGTTTTAAGTTTCAAACACGAATCTGAATTTTCATTTGTTAGTTGACTTCTTACTTTACTTTTAATTATATTCATGCAAGAGAACGCTTGCTCGCACGAATATGTCGATCCGAAGATAGTCAACACTCCAAATGCCAACTTCTTCACCTCACTATAGCAATCTGGTAGACTATTCCATGCGTCAAATATAACTCAACTTGCAGCCTTTCTTTTAAAGCTGTTCATTTTTGTTGCGTTATGTACATACATTTCTGGACCTCCAACTTCTTCAACTTCCTTATCAACTCTGTAAATTTTCAACTTCACTTATTTATTTTTTAAATCAATCAATTGCATTTCTAGAGATCCAGTATCAACCCCAAATGGCTCAGTATGGATCGATTTATAATTTTTTTTATAAAATAAATAATATTTGCGTATGAAGCAATCTATGAGTGAGAACTATGTTCAGCAGTGGACTTTTATAGGTTTTAACGGATGGAATGGATAATACCATGGATCCTCCTGAAAGCAACTGCTCCAGAACCACATTTGACTCAATAGCCTGTTGTTGTAATCTTCTGCAACGAATGAGTCTTGCATGACAGGTGAAACAGACAATTATTGGCCCCTCAATATCATCCAACTGAAAATATAAAAATCTTCATAAATATGAAATAGTATTCAAATACAGTAGAACGCCGTTTATCCGAACACCGATTAACCGAATCGCCAATTATCCGAATCGGACCTAAGCTTAATATAAAAAATTATAACCAAGTACAGTAAGTAACATTACTTAGATTACTTATACAATACTTGGTTAACTGATATTAAAAATAACAGTGAAAAAATTTTAAGTTTTGTGACCGTGTTGGAAAGTGGTGATGGATGTTCGTCGCGAAAAGTAATGAAAAAAGCAAAAGAATAACAGCTTGAGAATGCTGTTTTTACGTGGTTTCTGCAGCAACGATCTATTGGACAACCGATTTCAGGATCGATTTTATGTGAAAAGGTGCAAATGTTCAGTGAAAACATGGGTGTAGCTGGTTTTACTCTTAATAAAAGTTTATAAATTGTAAAACCATTTATAAACTTAATAAAGTTTATTCTATGTGTGACAGTTCGTTTTTCTATATTACATGCCAGTCTATGTCCGATTATCCGAATCGACCCCGGTCCCAATTAATTCGGATAATCGGCGTTCTACTGTATATAAGTTTGTAATAAAGATTATTGGCTACCACATTTTAATTTGTCAACATCATTTTTTATAATATTGAAGTAACAAATAAACTTACCATCTAGTAAGTGACTAATGGGCATCATGGGCACCTGCAACAAACTTCAAGCAATGGCTACAGACGCAATGTTACCTCTGAGGACTAAGATGTAATGCATCACAGCCTGGCTCTCGATGTCCTTCAGACTGGGACACATACTGCTGCTTGGTGCCAGAAAATGGTAAGATGATGATATCTAGGCAGAAAGAAACTCCTACAGTTCCAAGCCACCTACATCCATCAACTACATTACCTACATTAACTTCAAACTGCTATCATCACTAAGAACATTACAAATACTTCTCTTATCACTCTAAGTAAACTGATAATGCTTGTGGTAGGAGGATATTGAAACAAAACACAGGGTGGTGGGTGGTACTACACATTCTGTGAAAGTGTAGTACCACCCCAGTCGAGCCGACCCATCCATGATACAACCATAATCTAGCTGCAGCCCGGCTCTACCACATATAAAATAATGATAATAATTCTTTCTACTCTATTCTCTCATTTTAATAGACCAATAGAACTTTTTTAATTTGCTGAACAACCAAACCAGGGTAAATGTTAATTTCTTGATAGAAAATCACAATAATAGTCATTCAAGTAATATGTACTAGAATAGACACCAGGAACAAAATCTATGCAGCAGTGCGGGTTGCATGGAAGGAATGGAAGGAGAATGTAGTACAGTTAAGACCCAGATATTTGACACTTCACTAATCTACACGCTCAGCTTTGGAAAAATCTAGTAGACTGTAGACAAGCTAGGGAGGCCCTGCCTGAAATAAACAGTTGTTTAACCAAAGTTCTAATGAGACTGAACAAGCCGCAGATCAGGATAGTAACAAGTGCTATTACAGGACACGGCAACTTTAACAAGCATTTATTTACTATAGGTGTTACAGATAGTCCCCTATGCAGGGCATGTCTGGGGGAAGAATGGGAGCAGACCATGTGATATTGAAATGTCTGGAGGTCGCTACGTACAGGGCTAAACATCTCGGCACGCCGAGATCACTCCCCGAAGTTGCATGCAACATCAAAGGACTGTTGAGCTTCTTCGTGGAGATCTCATGGCTCGAATAAGCATATTACTCCTGCCCACACACAAAATAAGCACATTGACGTGGAGTTGTGGAAATCAGCCCGTCGTAAACTATACTAAACTAAGACCCAGATACACTAGGGGCCATTTTGTCCCACAAGATGATATGGAACACTCAATCTACATGACGATGCTATTTTCTACAGCACATTTATTATTGCACAGTGACCCAGAACATTGTAAGTGACATGGGACATGTTGCTTGTTCTCTCTCCGAGAGAGAGTGCATGTGTCTGGCGTCATGTCATTTGTTACCAGGTGTAGTTGTGTGTGCAACTTTACTTGCAACATGTCAATTGTGTGGGGAAATGAAACTGTGCTTTTACTTCTAAAACTTTACCAGAGTCGTGTTTTGTTATGGGATACTTCTAACCACTAACTTCTGGTACTATTCTGCCAATCAGTTGTTTCAACACTCAAAAAGTGTACGACAAGGAAGCATAACAAACTCCAGTCGACAAGTATCTTAATGCAATGGCAAGTCTGATACCATTATGAGGGCAACAGCATTCCATAATATAGTATCCTGTTTGGTTATAGAAGGTCCGATCATTTGTTATAACATTTCAAAATCAGATGTTGACATTAGAGTAAAATTCACAAAAGATCCGTCAGACATTTGGAGATCTCTTAAAATATCAATTCCTCTTCCTTCTCATTGTAGTAAGGAATTCTGAATCCACCACCTTTTCTTTCGCTTACGTTTTACTCCCGCAATAAGCACTACGTACACAGCTCTAATCGCCACAACCTCTTTGGGAGACATTTATCTATATTCTATAAGCACTGACTACTGACTAGTGTGGCCTGCAAGAAGTTCCGCAACATGTCTCGGGACATTCCACGTATTAGTTGAGAGACATGTTGCGCAACATGCAGCTCCTTGCGTACCCAAGTATATCCTACTAACTTTACTTAAATGATAATACTGATTTTAGTGCGACCCAGGATACCAGGCTAATTGTTATTTTTCAGGTTCTGGTTGTATTTGTCACTATATTTAATGCTACATCTTAGAACATATATCGGGCATCATAATGTATTTCTCCAGTGATAACAACAAATTACCGCAACTTCATTTAGCAATAAATAAATATAAAACTTACAAAACTGTTCGTCAATATCTTATACAAATTTTGGAGGCCAGTATCCTTTAGTGCAAACATGCGTATATTAACGCTTAAACAAATTCTACAAACTTCACCTTCACTCAAGTCCATTGCTGTTTTCTATAGCTTTATTAAAATTGATTATTGAATTCTCTTTTTCATCAACAAACCGGACCAAAGAGAATTTTAAACCGGACTTTTCTCTTGTTATTTTTTTTTGGAGTTTATGGCCTGGTATCTAGACCTTTAGGCCATTCCCTTGTTATTTTATTTTTTTTGGAGTTTATGGCCTGGTATCTAGACCTTTAGGCCAAGTCTTAAGTATTTTTATTCGGTTTATTGTAATTTCCCCACTCCTGATGCGTCACATTGTGCAGTTCTTGGGAGATTTTGGCGGCAACTTGATCCAGCAGACAGCTGATAGTTGGCGATGGTATCTAAAGGTGCCTATGCAAACAAACAGCTTATCTTGAGAATCCATCACCATCAGAGCACTTGTTTCACTGTTTCCACTAATAGTTCACATGCGTAGACACTTAATACACAAAATCGCAACACTTTTACATATCAAAGTCCACTTCAAATCATTATTTAAACAATAATACAGGAGCAGCAAACCGCCGCCGGTCAATTTCCCGCCAAAACTCCTTCCCTTGTTTTTATTACAATTTATCACAGAATACACACAATTTTTTATAATCACAGAACACTATTACTCCTAAAGAGCAATGGCAGAAAAATAGTTGACAAAAATTATAGCGTCTAGAAATAAGTTATATATAAAATGAGTTTTATTATTTTTCTATGATTTTTCAAATAAAAATGTATTTTAATTAAAGCCACAGAAAAAAATAAATATTTTTGGGAATATCAAATGACTTATATCATTACTCTATTCAAATACTTAAACAAATTCTACAAACTTCACCTTCACTAAAGGCCATTGCAGCCACAAACTATATAGAAACATTGCTGTTTTCTATAGCTTTATTGATTATTGAATTATCTTTTTCATCAACAAACCGGACTTTTCTCCTGTTATTTTTTTTTTTGGAGATTATACCTTTAGGCCATTTTCTTGTTATTATTACAATTTATGACAGAATACACACAATTTTTCATAATCACAGAACACTATTTCTCCTAAAGTTTATAATGCGCCCAACGCGTAGAGAGAGCATGAACTTGTACATACCTACATACTCCCTCTACGGCCACGGCTGGTAATCTTTGAGCAAAAATCTTTGACCGTATGAAATAAAGTGAGCAATTCAGAACTTGACGTTTCCCCCGTCCCTCCCATCTCTTGCCCCTTCCCGCTGCCGCCATTTTGTCATGTTATAGTCCGGCCGCCGTAGATAGAGTATTGACTAGATAAAGCATTCGCGTATGCTTTTGAGATAGAAATAGGCAGGAGGTACTTTCACTGGGTTACCAGATATTGTTCCATTTCCCCCGTTATGGGTTTATTTATATTCACAGCACTTACATTCATACAAAAAACTTAATTGTTACCATAAAAAAATGTTCTTTTATAATTCAGATGATTAATTAATTTCTCTTGAAAATACATTCTGTGACAAAAACTACGGGCGGAAACGGCGTAAAAACAGAATCATCATTCTGTATTCAACGGCGCATCGACGATTTTACTGGACATTCAATAAACTCTTTGGATTTCGACGGCACTAAGTGAAGGCGCTAATAGCACAAAGTGTGATATCGCTAATAAATAACAATATGTTATGTATGTACTTAAATATTAATTGAGAATAAAAATATTAAATAATAAACAAAAATTTCCTTGTGTCGAGTTTTGTTGTTTTTACAAAAAAATAAATAAATAATGTTTTAACATACCATTCCATCACAAGTTCAGTGCTGAACACAGACCTTCGAAAGGAAAGGGTTTCCACTTAGGTTTTGTAGTACAAACACGATTATGAGCCTACTCCCGCGATTTGTGTTGAGATGTGTGTTGTGGCGTACAAGAGAATTTGTCTGTACACGGGATGATATTACCCCGCGTCGTAAGCAATAATACAAGATGGGGATGGGGCAGCAGCACTTTCCCGATGAAAACTTAAAATAATAAAAAACTGCAGTGGCCAACCAGCATAACGCATATTTTCACGCAGGCGTGGCAACTATGGCAAGTCATCTTATGAGGATATCTATGGAAGGCCTTTTTTAGGTGACTTACTTATGGTTAGGTGGCTTAATCATGTTACCTATTGGTTAAGGTGGTAAAATGTTTTAGTTAATATACGTTGTAAAGCATCAACAAAGGATTTTTTTGTAATATGTTGGTATATAAAATAAAAACGAATGTTTTATAATATTCTATTTTAATTTACCATGCAGTGTAAGATTATTTGCTACCTCATATCATTCCATGGGTGGTGTATGAGGCGACATAGGGAAACATCAAAGAAGATAAACAGCAGCATTGTCCTGATAACAGCTAAATAATGGTTGACAACCCGCTTTCTAAGCGTTGAAACTATGCCAAATAACTATAATCATGTTTATGTTCAACAGTGGACTTTTGATAGACTGTAAAGATATATATTCTATTTAAATGAAAATATATTGAAATTTGAAAAGGAAAAAGAACTAAATTTTGTGTACTTACACAACATTTAGAAATATTAACAATGTTACATTAAATAAAACAAATGAAAAAACAATTATATATTAAATATAATTCAATAAAATTAAAATAAATAAACGATTATTTATTAATTTTTCATCACATTAATAAACAACAAATTTATCAAAATTTTTGTCTTCTTTCTATTAAAAGGGAATATTATTTGCCTTGTATATATTTTAATGGTATAAATAATAAGGTACAACTCCTAAACTATACTTAGATAGGTAATACTTATCTCTTGTCAAAACCATCTTTATTACATTATT